CACAGAAGATGGCCATATTTCTGGATCACGTTCACATGTGTCATGAGAGGTCTGTGTTAGGTGACTGGGTTTATGAAAACCCAGCTCAATATATTGATCTCCAGACTCTAAATTATAAAATGAAAATCATAGTTCTTTATTCAAACTTTGAAACATTGGAGGTAAAACAGGAAAATGAAGAGGCAGTCACTGAAACCTTGAGGATTATGACTAAATAATCTTGACAGATATTTAGATATGTCACATGTGGGTGGCTATACAGACCTCTGCCTCTGTTGGTTTGTCAGCAGTGAGGATGTCTGTTGGTTTGTCTGAGCTGGACTTGTTTGACTGTTTGCTGCTGCTCTCTTCTTCTGTTTCTGAATCAGAGTCAGACTCTCTGAGTCTTTTCACGAGAGCACGATCCAACATCTCCCTGTTGAACAAAGCACAGTGTAATTTTAAATTTCCACATATACATTGTGGGGATGAACAGAAAAGTATTTGACCAGCATAATATAATCTGCAGTATGATCATTGCTTTAACAATGTAACAGATAGCTTTAAGATGGCCTTAAGATGTTTATGATGATGTTAACTTTGTATTTCAGGTGCAGTTATAACTATTTTATACATATTGCATATCTGTGCTTATTTGAGTTGATGTTCAGGTTCTTTAAAGGTCTTAAGCCTCACTGACGTGACTGTTCAGGTGATACATGCTGAGGGAAAACTAGAACATAGAAGGAATTGCAATACATGCTTACAAAAACACTTATATCAGGTCATTTTATATTAAGGTTTTAGTAGAGGTTCTTGGTTAAAACATTTATTTAGTAGAAGACATACACATAGTCTCAGTGAGCTTCTGGTCTAGTGAGAGGTCAGAGGTGCAACAGGTGAATTGAGAAAGAGCATTTGAGGACGAGACACAGACAGTAGGAGGTGAAGAGGTGACACAAAGAGCACGTGAGGTCAACACGTACACACACATTAGTTAAGATTTATTTAGAGGAGAGATTAGTTATGTCTAGACAAGAAAGAGGAACAATTCATTTTAAGATAAGAACGGAAAGTACCAAGCCATGAAAATAGAAGATGATTTTCTGGGTGAAAAGTCATGATGATGTTGATCTGATCTATGTATAAAATGTACCGGTGACGCATGAAGGGCGTCAGTAAACAAACCCTGATGTTATAAAATAATTGTTTGTGCCTTAGTAAGTCGAAGATCAATTGCTGTTTTCAGTGATCTTCCCACGTGTGAATTAAAATCTTCGTTTGACTTCACCCGGCCGGACCAGTGTGGTTATTTTTCGATCACCTCTTGTACCCTTCCTCAATTCATGAATCTTAACAACATCTAGCTATGTATTAGATATTATAGCAAAAAACATTTTCAATTAAATATGAAACATGCTTGAGATTGTTCAAAAATTTTTTTTTAAAAAAAAAATCAGACAATTTTTCTGAGCATGCACAACTCACTTCATTTCACGCTCATCCTCCTCTTTCTCCCGTTCCCGCTCCCTCTTCTCCATCTCTCTGTACTGGTCGATCATTCCCTCAAAGTCCACCAGAGCCTGTCTCTGATTCAGCTCCTTCAACTCCTGCAGGTTCTCCAAAACCTCCATCTCTAACTTTGAATCCTTTGTGCGGTTCTCCAGCACCTGGTCGAGGATTGGGAAACCATTCATTCTGTGTTTCATGTGCCAATTTAAGTAAGAACAGAGGATGACTTTTAAAACACTAACCTTCATGGGGTTGTTCAGTTCCTCTTCTTCCCTCTCCTGCTGGATTCTCTTCTCCTCCTCCTCAATGAGTTTCTCTGCCTGGAAGTTCCGCGTTGCGCCATGCTCCATGGCGTAGTCTGTGTTCTCTGGGTCAGTCTATGACGTCATCATAAGATATAGCATTGTCAACGGGTATTTTATGCCCAATATAAGTGATATCTCTGAGATATCTCTTGCAACTTCGATGATCAGATCATTCACACTTACCTTAAATGTAATTTCAGCAAGACAGCGGGTACATTTGATGTAGAAACGAAAGATAGGCAGTCCCATGTAGGTCTCATTCTGAACGGTCTCTTTGCGTGCATTGAACTTCTTCCCCTTGTAAATGTACTCACCGCATGTTTTACACCTGCAAAGTAGAAGAAATGATGACACTGTAGTGACAGGAGTAATTTAGAGAAGCCAAAAAAAGGTCCTATAAGTGAGCAGCAACCCTGTTTTACTGCAAATAAGCCATATATCTAATGAATAGACTTACATTCATATAAACCAAACCAACCAAGATTCCTGCTTTGACAGTTAGAAATAACCTTAACACTGTACGCTTAAGTCACTAAAAAGCAGAAATATATATGTTAAGGCCATGAATAAACTGGACCTGGAAGTCTCTATTTGGAAAGAAAGCTCTAAAACAGCTCTACCTTCTCCAACAACTTGAAAAATACAATGTTTGTGTCATATAGTCATTCCAAGAGCATGATATACGCTCATTTTTTCTGAAACTGGAAAAAATGTTAAAAGATTATTATTATGTGCTGGATGAAGGTCATTTACCAGAGTTATTAAAAAGAGTAGATGTTACTTTTTTAAACACATCCCACTGTTTAAAATCCTATTTGTTAAATCTCTGAAACTGATGTGAACCGAAGTATGCAAACAGTCATGAGGTCCCAGGTTACTACAGTGGCTGTGTCTGAGTGGGTGAATGTGATCTAAAGATTGTTTTGCATGTTCATTAAAAGCCCAGAATTACCATGACAGTCATGCCTATGATGAGTGTATATGTCTGACCACAACTGTTGGTACCAGTCCATTCATAACGCTCCAGGGGGCGTTTTTGTTCGCCTTCTCGCATGTTGTTTGGTTGTGTATTCATAACAGCATCCTTTACAACATTAGCTGCATTTCATTGTAAGAAAGTTAAACTTCAGAAGTGTAACCAGGAAACAACTTCTTAGATATACGTGGGTAAGACAAGCATACCTCATATTAAATGGAGCCATCAATCTGACCACATACTGACGATCTTTGGGGAGCTTTAGCTTCGGGATTTTGGACGGATCGAAATCCGGAGGGTAGTATTTCTGTGGATAGCAAAACACATAGGTTAGCTTACAAACTTGTAGCCATTAGACTAATAATGTCTAATTTTATTACAATATAGTCTTGATACACACTATCATAGTAACAGTAGTTGAAAAAGCAACGCTACCTACCAGCTTTTAGTTAAATTAAACAGAAACTATAAAAAACGCCACACTTAGCTTCAATGCTAACGCCAACCTGCTCTGGTCCTATAGTATTTTAATAACAGCAGTGAAGTACCAGTTTTAGAGTTCATATACTTACATTCAATACTTTTCTTTCGGACATTTTTTACTGTTGCTGTTACCCAAACGTACAGAAAAAAAAAAACGCTGGAAAGTCGCAACACCTCTTGTAAACTGCAAGATAAGCTTCCGGTTGCTTGTTCAATTGCTTCCCTCCTCCAAATTGCGCTCGCCCCCGCGCGGTAAAAGTGAGAAACAACAGCAACAACAAAATATTTTAACAATGGATATTGAATACATTTATTATAAAAAAAAATCATTGTCAAGGGAAATACATGTATAACGACTTGAATTACTTGGATTTTTACAGTTCTCTCCTTCAAACCCCCCAAATCCCTTTATCCTTTGCTGCCATTCTACCTGAATGACTCATATAAGCTTTATATATTGAACAGGGCCCTCAGGTGCTGTCTGCTTTGTCTTTTTTTTTTTCCAACATAGTGAAAGGGATCATGACCAGCATGGTAAATGGCGTAAAACGATTTGTCAGTGATATGGGGGTCAGTAATATGGTTTGGTGTGTAAACAGAAGCCTGACAGCCTCACATATTCATTCCCATTACTCTTGGGAGGGTAAGGGGAGGGTTAAGGTTATTCCTACAAAAGGAAATTGTATCTTGATTACATATTGGTCTCTGTGTTGGTCAGCCTGTCTGATTTAAACTTTGCAGAACAGCAGTGACATCAGAAGGGCAGATCGTTAAATAAGAATAAGATATGAATAAAGTTTGACTTTAAGATTAAGGACTTTTGTTTCTGCTATTATTACTATTTTTTAAAGACAAAGAATTGAATTAAAATGAGACAACACCATGTATAGATGGAAGCATTAAATTTTTAGAACTACCCTTTTAGGGTCTACTTTCTGAATGAGAGCACATTTATTAGACTTCACCAATAGCAAACTTGAAAGAAAAAAGTTAAATTACACCAAAACAGATATTTTGTTTGCACATACTGACCCTTATCATCAAGATAACTGTGGCCACGAGTGTGCTATCCCATTAGGCTAATATTGTAAATTCCTAACCTTTTCATTGGTAATCTGTAATTTATAGTGTCAAATGCAAGTCATAAAATCTCCCCAGTGGATTCCTTGTTGTGCATTTTACGCAGTAAATTGTATTTTTCAGTGAAATTATCAGGGCTTTGCAAAACACCACTTTCAAAAATTGGAAACAATTCTGTTGTTGTCTTTTTTGTTGTTTTATTATTTCGATAACTGTGCAATCAAAATGCAGATTAGCTGTTTTACTTGATTTCTCACTCTGATTCTGACACATCAATGTGACGCATCAGTGAGTCAGATATGTGATTAACCAAAAAGGCCACAGAAACAGGTGGAAAAAAATGTGATTTGTTGGGAATTCAATGGGATCAGTTAACTGAAATTGATTGGAAGACTGGGATAAAAAGTTTTAGATAAAGGAGTTTAATTACTCTTTGGTTTCATCATCACTTTCACAAATTTTAATGTCTCACATCGACGTTTGGCTTTCATCTTCTCTTATCGCTTCCTGTTAAAGATGCAAAGGTGCCGAGCAGTGTCATCCATGTCAAAGTTTCCATGAATATTTCAAAGACTGGCTGATGTCAGCAGCACTTGCAAAGAGCCTATAAAGACAGTTTCTGTGGACAAAAGACATCCATCCTCAACACTCCAAAGAAGCGTTTGTCTACTGGAAAAGAGCTCCACCCGCTGAAGAGAAGGACTCCTCCTTTATGTGTCTGAACACAATGGTCAGTGCGCGGACTCTCCTCCTCGCGGTCACCTGCTGCTACGCCTACCTGTACCTCGTTCGCGCAGAGGACTCCTCACTGGAGACGCGCTCACTGGATTTCACCCTGAAAACTCAACAAGAGAAAGACTTGGTGAGAGCTTTTGTTGGGGATGTGGGTTAAGTCGATTTAATTTGTATAAAGAAGGATGTTGATTTTTTTTCTGTATTTAGGGTATTTAAATTATTTGAACAACAATTTTCTTAAAAACAAAGTCCATAGTAAACGTTTTTTGATAATATGACTTTTTATCCCCCCCTGTGCAGATTGACGCATTGCAAGAAGTTCTGGAGAAGCTGAGGAGCAAAGAGATGCCCTTGGAGAAAAAGCATGGATGGTTACCTTCGGTAAGCAGACAAATGAGAAATAAAACAGCACGAAACCTGTTAGATTTAATTTTCTTATTTAAGATTCTCTGAATTTACAACAGTCAGAAAAAAATGAGGATTTTTAGACGTTTGTTTTTATCTAATCAAGATTTTTAAATTCTATAAATCGCAAAAAATTTACAATGTTTTGTCTACAGTGTACTAATTTTATGTTACCCTTTCAGTGTGACGCAGGGGAGCCGTGCGCCGTGCGTAAAGGCGCACGTATTGGCACGCTGTGTAGCTGTCCACGGGGGACTACTTGTAACTTCTATGTTCTGAAATGTTTGTGATGAGGAAAAAAAAAGATAACAGAAGTACAAGAAATAACGAGTTCAGGGCTGATAAAAAAAGATGAATGTGAGAAATGACAGGAAGGTCTGCTTCTACTGTTCAATACATTTGTGATAGAAAATAAAATGCTGTAGAATGTGACTTTTTTTTTTGCCTTTATAAACATTGACTGTTATGAATAAGAGTTTTTGTGAGTCTGTCGTTTTAATTTTTATTTCTCTCGTCCGTGTTAATTATTGTGTCACATCATTGTGTTAATCATTGCGGCATCTTGTGGAAGACTTTTTTTGGTCATAATATTTTACTATATTTATTTCTTTTCCCCTGATTGTTGGAAATACCGCACAGTTAGTTTATAAATAGATTTGTAAGATGAAAATACCAATAAATGAACTTGAATTCAAGGGTCTGTAGAGTGTTACTGCTGCACCTTTGCGGTAATAATATTGCATGGGATATTATAAAATATACATGGAAGTAATTTACAATGGGATTAATAAAAATAGATATTGATCCCTTTGCCACGTGTGATCAATAATTCAGCCTCTTCCTGCCCATTCACTGATGCGCGGCTGAATTCCAGCACAGCAGCTGTCATCCCTGTAATAAAAGGCGCTGTCAGGCTTTTTCAATGACATCACATAGAAGCGCAATTTTCCAACATGGCGTCCAGCCGGGTGCTGGAGAGGGAGGTCCAGGAGGAGCCGAAGCGCGCCGCTACCGCAAACCTCGACTTTTGCCTCCATAAATACTCCCTGCTCATCATAATCGGACGGACCGCTCGCCTCAGGCAGACGGAACACATCAGCAGGGAGATAGAGCGAGGTAGGTTTATTTCAGCCCGCGTCCAATAGCTGCTGTATGCCATTTTGCTTTTTCCTATACAATTGTATTACAAAAAAAACAGCTTCCTGCAAGTTCTTCTTGCCCAAATCATCACTTGCGGTGATATACTGAGCACACTGCAGTTTTTTTTATGCAATTTTCCCCCACCGTACTGACCGAGGATGCGTCATCTGGCGACACTCCACCATCAGCATCACCCCCTCATCCCTCCGGACACATTATAATTAAAAGCTGTCTGGAGCGGGTGCTTTGCCTTTCGCCTCAGTTTTAGTTTTTAGTTATGTAAGGACAAGCTTTGAGGGAAATGTTGCGCCGGGGATTTTCAGTCCACACACAGCCACTTGTAAGCGATGTCCCATTAACCTTTGTGCATTTATGCACAGCTGTAATTGTGGATGCTGCAGACCAGACAGTGCGTACTCATAACGATCCATTACAGTCTATGTTTTATTGCTTTGCTGTTTTGCAGCTGTAGACATTTTATGGAAGCCAGCATGTGTAGCAGACAGTTCATGTAAAACAGGATAGATAGGGAAATTGAAGAGAAACCACGAGGACAGACACAGATAGAAAAACAGACTGACTCATATTCCTGCACTGTAGCTAACTGGGCCAATTAACATTTCATTACACTCTGGTGAAAGCTATGTACTTCAAAAATGTCATCAACTTTTCATGAACTGAACAAACAGCCCAGTTTTTTGAATGTACATCTGTAGCTAAAGATTATTTCTTCATCGGTTAATCATAAAAATAATAATTTAACAACTGTTTGTCCTACAGATTGGGAAAATCATCTGCTATAGTGTCCTCCAGTTTTTCAGTCTTCATCATGTGTCTTTAGCAGTCTAAAAGCCAACCACATTCAGCTGACTGTCACGTGTTTCAAAGAAAAACCTCAAATTCTCCTCACTTGTCAGCTAAAAACAGAAAATACATTTACATGTACAATATAAGATGGTACATTCTGTATTTAATGTGTATAATTAGCTGAAAGTAAATGCTACAGACTCTTTATCGTGTTTATATGACAGATTGCAAGATACAATGATACTCGTTGTACTATGTTAAAAAGAGAGAGCAGATTTGGTTGAATGCATTAAATATTGAAATAAAATATACTATGGGATAGCTACGATTATAACAGCCAGTTTTAATATTTTGCGAATACTTGGACATGTGTAGGCTTTTATCACATTGCACCATGTGACAGTATAGCCTCTAACTTTCTTGCTGTCAGGTATTCGGTCATGGGATGTGGACTTAAAATCCTGTAACCTGAACCTCTACCTCCAAGAATTCCTCTCCCATCACACGGCATCTTTCAAGAGTGCAGGTAAGATTTAAGTCATCTTTCTTGCCAAACTCTTTGGCCCTACTGGGGAAACTCCCATTGCCATGGCAATATTTCAGCTCAGCCAATCTGGGGTCACTAAGGAAGGAAGGAAGGAAAGTGGACAAGCAGCCAGACAGGGCGATTGTTGAGCATGGGTGGGCCCACGACACAGAAAACAATAGAAACCTGCAGCCAAGTTTTGCCACCTCTCGTTCTCTCTGTATGGTTGGCAATTAAGGACAGCTGAGCACAGGAAAAAAGACAGACAAAAAGAATTAAACAGTTGTGTCACAGCTGATCCGTGTAAAGTGAAGTGATGAAAATGGTCAAGAGCAGACATTTGTCTATCCAGAGAGGTTGCCTGCACTGTAGTATAGCTTCCATAATAAGATCGACTACAGAAATGAATAGTGTGAGGCATGCATTTATTTAATTTCTTGTCCAAAAGTTAGACAACAATCAATAGCACTCACTTGCATTCAGTGTCAAAACTATGTATCTTGCTATAATACTAATAATACTAACAATCCTGCCTCCTGAGCCCTCACATTTACCAGAGTGGTGAATCAGCATGTTGAGGTTTTACATTAACCACCAGTGGAGACTCCAGGAAGTCACTGCTCCCAGCCTTCACATGCTATGTGATATGTGATGCTATTTTCTAATTTTTACATGTGTTACAGAAATATTAGTCATTTTCCCATTTCCAGTCTTTATGCTAAGCTAAGTTAGCCAGATGGTGTTTGTAGTTTCATTTTTTAGTGTACAGAAACAGAGATATATGTCTAATTATTGTCAAGGAAAGGAAAAGACATATTCTCCCAGAATTTTAAATGTTTGGTTGAATTATGCAAAATGTCATGTAGGGAAAATAGCCCTTTCTGTTTCCCTTTGTGTAAAAAGACTGAGAAACATTTGTTCATATTTGGGTCATGAAATTCCAGTCGGCTAAGTACGCCTCTGTATTCTTAGCTGTTCACCTAGTCCAGCCTCTCAGACTGGATGTCCTTCTCAGATTGAGGAAACTTGGCATCTCTTCCTCAGACAATCCTTCTGACTCAGCTGTTCCACTTTTCGTACTTTCTCTTTTTCACCCAGTGAGTCAATCACCTGTCCGATTAGCCCAGTTCACTTTCTCCTCTTTGAGCTCTTCTCCTATTTGCTTCCAGTCTGTCACTCAATGCTCGGACCTGTCGGCTTATCTCCCTCTTGTTTGCATCCCTGTGGCTGTCTGTTTGTCCTTCTCTTTATATCTCTTCTTATTTTTCTCTCTGCCTCTTCAGGGCATAAGTGTCTACGTCACTGTACCAGAGTGTTGGACACTCAGGTGGTGATCAGTCCATCTCAGGACCAGGTTCATTCAGAGGTGAGGGGATAAATCCTCGGGTGGCAGCTGACAAAATGATGCTGTGTTAAAATGATTCAGTTATTCAGAAATAAGTTGAATATAATAATTTCCCAAATGTATGAATTGTTGTTTTATTGCCATCACTATGTTTAAGCAGGTGCAACAGGAATTTATACATGTACATTATTTTCATTAGGCTGTAGATGCCTTGAATAACTATGCAAAATTACAACATTATTATCTCAAATACTTCCACACTATAACTGGGCTACTGTATGTAGTATAATATGTATAATAGGCAACATCTCAAAGCAAGGTGCAATATACCAAAACACTCACCCTCTTCCCCCAAACTTTAAACACTATTCCCCTGTTTTTACGTGGGATCCAGATTTATTGAGCTTTCTGTGAAAAACGCTAACCTCGTATGTCACCTCGTGTTCATATCAAAAGCACCGGCATGCTCTAAAACACAATTAACTCAAATCATCACTGCCAGAATCCAATTAGCACACAATTTGTCATGTGGAAGCACAGACAGTCCAACACGTTTGCACACCAGTCAGTAGATAAAAGGGCCATGTGGCAGTTCACTGGTTTTGGAACATTTCCCCGGCTGTCTGGCCGTGGCTGTTATTGACTATTTCTGGCCTAACACAGACCAGAGAGGGGATGTTGGGGCTCAATCAATTACATTTTCTTCCATGCACAAAAGTTTGCCTCTCCATCATATTGAGAAATACCTGGCTATTATGATAATATACTGCATTTCTGAAAATCTGTTGAATATTTTTTGCGGTGCATTTACGTTTTGCTCTAAATTTCAAACTGACCGAAGTCATAACTGCACACTGATGAAGACCATTGTGCAGTTATGCATGTGCCTTCAGAGGAACCTAACCTAATATAACAGCTCTGTCATATCGGGGCACAGACATGTTACCTTTGTTATGTTTTTGCACGATTGTGACCTAAACGCAAGACTCCAAAAATAAAAATAACCATGTAGTAGATTGTGCATAAAGTTAAAAAAAGTACAAAGAATTCAAAGTGGCAACAAATTCAAATCCAAGATTTCAATTCACAACATTGCGCTGCATTTAGATGATCAGTGATAAACACTATCAGCGTTTTAAATGTGGTGGCTGATTGGTCTATACTCAATATACACATTTTTTTGCATGGTAAAAATGAGGCCTGTAGCTACTCATTTACTTTGTTATGGAGTAATCCTGGAATGTAATCACAAAACAGCTAAACAAGGGTGTGACATCTTTGTGACATGTGTGACATTTGATGTACAGAGCTGTGCAAATGTCTTGAGAGACCCTTCATTTCTTTATAATTTGCTTCCAAGGAACCAAACTGTCTTATAGTTTAAAAAAAAAAGTAGTCTTGAGCAATAGTTCTCCAGGATTTCTGAAGCTCTTATACAGTTTGTCTTTTTGACATTGACATTGCCTTTTCACTCATTTTTGGTCCATCCTTGTACCTGAGCATTTCAGAAGATCTTTTTAAGCTATTTAATGCTGATTTATGAATCATTCAAGCATAAAACAACACCTAATTCAAGACATGAACCGGTTTGGTGTAAATACATAACAGACAATATAGAAAAGAGCCTATTTTAAATTGTATCTTCAGGCACTTCATTACTAGCAGTCTGTTATAAAACACAACATTTGTTCCAATTTCTTTAGTCAAACCTACAAATAATACCAAAGTTAAGACAACTTGATATTCATAAAATACTGGTTTTTGGTTTTTTTTTTGCACTAACCAGGTGATTTGAATTTCTTTCAAGATACTTGCAGAACATTTCTTAAAG